TTAGAAGCTCTGCTCTCGTATTGTCTTAAAACATCTAATTAATTCTCAAACTGAGGATTACAAAAGGTGTATCACTAAATTATATTTAATATACAAGAATTGGGTAATAATAAAGTGTATTATCGTTTGTCTCACGATGTAGTCACTTGAGATGTAGATCGCGACGTTTCGACTGCTTACTGCTAGTCTTCTTCAGGCGATAAGGTCGACTGATTGCACGGTATCATTTATATCACAAAGGTCGGCTGTGATTGGTGCATTTCGATCCTCCTTCGAGTGTAGAGTGTTTGAGGCAATAGGAAGTCAAAAGTCGACTGGCTTCGCAACATATAACTCCCTTATTACGTATGCGAGTTCAGATTTAAACCGGAGCAAATAATTTTAAGCCGGAAGTATTCCTTTGTTTTGGAAGAGACTGCACAATAATCAAATGTGTTGATCTGAAAAGAACGCAATCGCTGGTTTCACCTAAAGGTTAATGACATCATTTTAACTGACCGAGTTTGACTTGAGCAGTTACACTCTCTTTTTTTTTGTAAAAAACAGTGTTTATCCAGCTGAGGCTGAAGTATTCTAATTGTTCTGCCAATTGTAGGCTGAAAATTTTCTTGTGAATATTCTTAGATTATTTCCTCTCTGTCTGGAATATGCCGCATGAACAATAAAATTTAATTTTATCTTTTCCGTCGGAATGAAAATTTATCCAACAGCAAAGATGACGACAGAAAGCGGACATCGAAAAATCTCAGATTTATTTGCAAAAGAGCTCTGATTGCAAAGTCTCTTTTACAAACCGTGGAAAATAAATAAACCCACAGAATTTTACGAATTTAAAATTTGTTAAACCACAATTTCGGAAAGTGGGCGATGAAATGCTAAAACAAAAAATAACAACAAAAAAATTTCTTCAATGGAGTAATTCCTTTTCGGTATTACATCAGCCGTTTGCCAAATAAAAAGACAAAAGAAAAATATGATTACTCAGGTTGTCGGACAGTAGATATCGTTTCCATGGTGAACGAACGGGTTGCCAAGCATTCGTGCCACGTACAAGGGATTATTTTAGCCTATTTTGAGCCCGTCTTTCGTGTGACGGGGGCATAGCTCAGTGGTAGAGCATTCGACTGCAGATCGAGAGGTCCCTGGTTCGAACCCGGGTGCCCCCTACAGCTTTTTTTATTTTTTTACTTATCTTCAAACATTATTCTTGAGGAAATAATGATTTAATTACCAAAAATTGTAATATTCTCGCAAAAAAATGTAAAAAACTAAAATTTACGCATTGGTGGTCACAGCTGGCAGAAATTGAGAAATGAAGACAATTTGAAATTTGGTTGGATGTGATTTTCACAACCGAAACTCGAACAACACCGGAAGGTAGTTTTAACAAAAACTCAGCGGAGGTTTATTTTCAGGAACTGTTAGGTTTAAAAACAAACTGTTTTCATTACAAACCCGGCCTAAGCGTAGTATAACTTTATACATGCACTAATTAACAACTATTCCACGAGCAAGCGCGTTGGATATGAGTTAGCTATAATTTAAAGTCTCACATCAAACAAGCGCGAGTGGAATAATTGTTTTATCAAAAACGTCTCCAAAATATAGGAAACTAAAATAATTTTGTTTACGCATAGGCTTGCCATTTTTGTAGAGAATGGTATAATGGCTCATATACCATGACAGCTGAACCAATGAAAACTTTTGAATTACATTATCCAATGATACAGTTTTTAAAAACACATAATTGTCAATACCTTTAACGTCACTTTCAACAGTAAACACGGCATCAAATCCTCGACCAGCGTATTGACTATTGGACCGGAACTCGATTCGTAACTTGTTTGTTTTGGACTCGATGGACGATGGAATTACACTGCCGCAGTAACGGCCGATAATCGGTGACCAGCTGGCCAGGCCATTGAACACTTGAGCATAGTCCGAGTTATCGGGGCACTCTTGTGAATCACCTTCAACATCAAACTCGCTGAGGAATAAACACATCAACACGAAGTGAGGGAGTTGAACGCCTCCTGTAGTTAGATTACAGCTACATTTATTGTAAGGAAAAGTAGTCTTAGGTGGAAAGGAAACTTATGATGGTATTTGTTACTGAACTAGCAAAAGCGTGTTCCTTATTTTATCATTATTATTATTTTTTTTTTTTTTGCTGTTGTTGTTGTTCTTTGATAAATTAATGCGCCCCCGCGATCCATTCTTCATTAGACCCAGTTCAGACGCCGAACTTTTCATGTACTTAATTCAACGTATTAGGAACCTTCGGCTCATGAAAAGTTCGGCGTCTGAACTGGGCCTTAGTTACAGAGCGGTTCAAAGCACTGTACATCTCTTTATTAAATCCATTTTGAAATCACTGGTTATCCTTGCAATCTGATTGGCTCTCAGTGGTGCGATTTATTCACGAATCGCACTATTTTTTGCTCTA